CACAAGCCTCAGTACCCTGTCTGCTTTCCTGGGTTAATAAGAAGAAATCAAGTCAGTAACTGTGTATGTGAAACATGTAAACTGTTGAATTTATAAAAATACAAATGTTCAAATATCAAGGGAAGATGAAAAGATTGAGGGATGAAGGAAGATAACTATTTGAAGGCAAAGTCTGATCCTTCAAGGAGTCACTAACATTTTGAGTAATACTCCTATATCCTGAATATGTAAACAATGACGCTAAGCCTGAGTTAAACTAGATACTTCCAACCAGGAAAAACTTTAACATTCTAATTCAATTACTGTATTCCTGTTAACCACTAAGATAAATATTGGACATTTTAATATCTGGCAATTCTAAAATTATATAATAATCAGTATTTTATTGAATTTAATCAGAAGTACACAGTTTGGGGCTTTTTTTCAATTATAAGATTAGTATAGAAAGAAGTGAAAAGTTAATTGTGACATATCTGAACCAACATTCTGAATTTATAAGATGAATAACAATACAGTTTTCATTTTATCAAGTAACTTTGGCCAACAAGTGAAAAATACATCATTTCTTTTGATCTTCTGTGGGATCCCTATAACATATTTTACCAGAGAAGAAGAAAGAAAAAGAACATGTCAAACTATGAAGGAACAAAGATTTAGAGCAGAAGCACTGATTAAAACGACGGTCCCAAGTGGTGGGAGGAGCGTTTTGCCAGAGGATGCGGAAGGGTGGGTTTTGGGACGTGGCACAGGAACTGGACCTGTCAATGAGAACACAGCGTCACCAACACGGGTCATTTTGAGTAACACTTGTATATTCTGAATATGTGAACAATGACGCTAAAGCCTGAGTTAAAACTAAGTACTTCCACCCCGGAAACATTTTCATATACATCATCACTACAGATTTCAGGCTGTAATTAAATACAGTTTACCCTTGAATAGTGTGGTGGAGGGAAGGAGCACCAGCCCACAATGCAAATGAAAACCTCATATGTGATTTTCGATTCCTTGAAACTTAACTACTAAAAGCCGACTGTTGACTAGAAGCCTTACTAGGGGGTAAGTGGGGGTGTCCAACTTTTTTTTCTCTGTTGCATACTGAATAATAAAAGTTGTCCAATACACAAACACTAAGGAAAAGCTGATTAGCAAGGGGGAAAAAAAAGGGTACCCACATACTTTTCATGATCTCCAACACCACAGATACGCAAAAAGTCCTCACAAAATCAGCACGTATTGGCACGTTTTGTATATGTATTATGTATTCTTAGAATAAAGTGAGCTACAGAAAAGAAAATGTTAAGAAATCATAAGAAAGAAAATACATTTACGAGATTGTCCTGGTACCGTAAGTTCACACCGTGTACCAGATAAACTGTCTGAAATGATGGGCACCTGCAGCTGCAGACCTCAACCTCAGGGCACAGCGAGCAGTTGAGCTCTTCCTTAGAACGTCATGGCTTTTCTGTTTCTTGGAAGCGCTTTCAAGATCACTAGTGATGCTCCTGTGAGTACTGTACCCAACATGATGAAAACCACACAGCAACTGTGAGAGATGACTTTTTACCATGATGTGCCATTTACTGGAGGAATGAACTGTTTACGCAGAGACTACTGGACACATGATGTTTTAAACGGATACTAACAGTTGAGCCTGCCAGAAGCCACAGGGTGGCACAGTGCATATGTACTACAGTTTTACACAGTTATGATTTAATACTGTGTTTTTGTTTTTTTGCTTTTCTCTGGACTGTGAATGTACCATGTGTAGTCTGTGATTTTTGTGTGTTAAATTTTTATATTTTAACTTTTAATAATAGATTTATGTATACTTTAGTATCTACATACATTTTATGCATTCATGACATGCCAATTTGTTTTCACATTTCTAGGCCATGCAGTTTTGCAGATTTTTTCAAATTACTGCAACTCTTAAAAATTTTCTTCCAATATATTTTTCAAACCCATGTGTAAGTGGCCCCATGCAGTTCCGACCTGGGCTGCTCAAGGGCCAACTGTGCATCAGGGTGTGCTGCTCCAGGTTTTATCTAGGATTTCACAAACTTTTAAATCTGTATACGGCCAGATAACAGAATTTCTTAGCAATTTTCTATTTCCATTTCTTGTATATATATGCGAGGTGAAGTTTCTATCTTATATTTCAAATGGTACATTTCAGACACATACTCAATAACTACCAATATACAATTGGACATACAGTCATTCCTTGGTATCCGTGGGGGATTGGTTTTAGGAGCCCTAATCCACAGATGCTCAAATCCCTTATATAAATGGTGGAGTATCTGCATAATCTATGCACATACTTGGTACACTTTAAACTCCCTCTAGATTACTTATAATACCTAATATAATTTAAATGCTATGTAAATGGGGTGAATGATTGTTACACTACATTGACTTTATTTGTATTCTCATTGTTTTGTTCTTTTCTTCCCCAAATGTTTTCAATTTGAGATTGACTAAATTCCTGAGGCTACAGAGGGCTGACTGTAGCTGGATTTTAAATTAAGTCCTGCAAGCTGATCAGTAAATAAATGTTTTTCCCTACACACACTCTACTCTGGGGAAAACTGCTTCCCTTTCATCTGAACTAGCAGAGAAGAGCAGTGGATAAGCTCATCTGTTCACTGCCCTAAACTCAGAAAACTGATTTATTTACAGCTATATTTTTGTTAAAAAGACTATAGGAGAGGGGTGACTAGAAGTATCCAAATGGGATCACCATTCAGGTTTCATAAATGAAGCCAATACTTTTATAAAAAGCCTTCATAGGGCCACTTTCCTTGCCAAGTTATAAACATGCAGTTATGCGCACACCACGGGAGAGGTGGCAGGCAGAGGCGGCGCTCCTCCTCAGCACAGTCACGTCTGCATGATGATGTCGGGAACCACTGACCACACACGGCAGTGGCCTCATCAGACAGTGCAGTGGGAACCCCCATGGGCCAGTGACGCAGGCGCCTCAGCACATCAGTCCTGTGCACGTGGTGACGCGGGGGTAGGAGAGCCGGAGACGATGACGTAGGCTGTCGTCAGCTGTTACTGGCTTATGTACTTACTATACTGTACTTTTGATTATTTCAGACTGTCCTACTTACATAATATTTTAAAGTTAACTGTAAAAAAGCCTGGCTCCTTTCCGGAGGTACTCCAAAAGAAGGCATCATCGCAGGAGATGGCAGATCTGGGGCTGTTACTGCCTCTGAAGACCTTCTCCTGGGTCAGGATGTGGAGGTGAAGACTGTGATACTGATGATCCTGACCCCATGAAGGCCTAGGCTAATGTGTGTGTTTGTGTCTAAAGTTTTAACAAAATAATTTAGAAGGTAAAAAAATAAAATTTTAAAATTAGAAAAAAGGTTATAGGATAAGGATATATAAAAAAGAAAATACTGTGTGTTTTAATCTGTTATTAAAAAAGTAAAATTTAAAAAAGTTAAAAAGTTGATGAAAAGGTTACAGTAAGCTAATTTACTGAAGAATCAGTGTTTTGTTGTTGCTGCCTCGGCGTGCAGCTTTATAAAGTCCGCAGTGGTGCTCAGCGACGTGCTGGGCCTTCACCTGCTCACCACTCACTGACTCACCGGACCCGCTTCTGGGCCTGCAAGCTGCTCTCATTCACGGTAGGTGCCCTGTCCAGGAGGACCAATTTTTATCTTTTGTATCATATTCTGACTGTACTTTGTCTGTGTTTGGTAGGTATGTTTAGGTACCCAAATACTTCCTGGTACAGCTGCCTACGGCTGTAGGGAGCAGCCTAGAAGCAGTAGCCGTACCATCCAGCCTCGGTGTGTACCAGGCCCTACTGTCAAGGTCTGTGTAAGTGCCCTCACTCTATGATGACTGCCACAGTGAAATCCAGTGACTGACTTCTCAGAACGATCCCTGTTGGTAAGCAACACGTGACTGTATGTTACCACAGGCCAGCGTTCTCAAGGGGGCATAGTACTCCCTGAGGAGCAGTCTGGACAACTGTCAGAGTATTTTTTGGACTGTCTTAGTGGTGGAGTGGAAGCAGAGGGCAAGCTACCTGGCAATGCACAGGACAGTCTTGGACAACAAAAACTTGACCCATCTCTTGCACAGCTTTCCAGAGCACTGCTAGACATACATGTAAGTTAAAAACCTATTTACAATGATCAAACCCAGAACCTAATGCAGTTTTACATGTAAGTAATACATTCTGGGATAGTTTTAATAAACATCAAACATTAGTTTCTGCGTTTCTTCACTTCCATTTTCTCACACTTCCAGTATAGGGTATCTTCCAATCTTCAGTCCAAATTTATCTGCATATATAGATATAAGCATCTCCCTACTTCATTGTCCCTTTCAATAGAATCTAATATTCACATATTGAAATATATGTAATGTTGTTATACATTATGGTCAGGACATGACATTGATCTTATGGGTGCACGTACACCTTGTCTGTGATCTTACTTTAGGATAACATAAGGACTTCATAAAATACTTGTTATGAAAAGGGAGAACTGGGTCGTGCGGCCTGAGAACCACTGTTATAAACAGGAAGTCTCCAGACAGTTCAAAACGACTATTTAAAAAATAAAGTTAAGTTGCCCTCAACACATACACACACAAATATAAGCATTTGGAAATGACATCACACTGTCATTACCGGGCTTTAAACTCTTGCAACTGTATTCCCTTCATGGAGGAAAGATAAATTTCTCATTTTTTCTACAGTACAGAAACACTTATCAACTAAAGAAATGATGTATTTCTTACTTGCATTGTTGACATTTTCTTGGCTTTTGCCTTCTAAAATATAAAGAGATTTTGAGTTAATTGCACTGTACATCTATTTATACAGGAAAGAAAGATTTGATTAAAGCTAAAGCACACTGGGCTACCTCTGGGGTGGGTGTGGGGGCAGAGTACCAGGTTAGAGTGACAGATGAGGTGGGGAGAAAGGCTTAATTTTTACTCATCTGTACTCCCGATCACTTTTGTCACAAATATGTATTTCCATTGAAAAAGAGGTAAAAATTTGTTTACAAAAAAAAGTACTCTTTCCACATATTGAACTCATATTCCCAAGTACAAAATCAGTACCTACCGTATTGAGTGCACACTCTATGCCACGCTTGTGCAAATACTTCACGTCTATTACCACCTTTACTTCTTCCAGTCACAGGAGAAGTAGGTATAGCTACCTATATTTCACATGTTCCTTAAAAAATCTACAAAACGCTTTGAGGAATGACATGCATAAAACCACAGAGGCAGCAGAATCTGATTTCAAAGCCTTTGTTATTAATTACTGTACTATATAGATGGTCCTCAACTTATACGGGGGCTGTGCCCCATTATACCTAAGGCAAGTTGAGAATATTTTAAGTCAAAAATACTTTCAAAGCACCTGACTGACCAAACACCAAGCGTAGCTTAGCCCACCTTAAAGATGCTCAGAACACCTACAGTAACCTTGAATTGGGCAAAATCACCTGACATACAGCCTATTCTATATAAACGTCAAATATCTCATGTAATTTATTAAATACGGAACTGAAAAACAATGGCTATGTAGACACTTGAAGTACAGTTTCTACTGAACGTGTATCTCCTTCCCCCACGCTAAGTGAAACATCTAAAGCTGGACACCATCTGTAAAGTATCACAATATTACCGTGTTTTGACAGTTTTGAAAGCAAACGCCAATTCTACCAGCCCAGACGCAGGTGTGTAACTAAATCTGGCTGGAAGACAAACTCCAAAAGTCTGAGTCCTGGTTGTGGCTTTGTAGCCACTTACATGACTTACATGCTCCTTACGTTCCCACTGTTTCATGTGCTCATCTATGAAGTGGCGGTAACAATATTATTGGATTAACCTCAAACTTCCGGCCTCAAGCCATCTTCCTGCCTCGGCCTCATGAGTAGCTGGGACTATAGGCACATGTCACCATGCTCAGCTAATTTTTCTATTTTTTTGTGGACGTGAAGGTCTCCCTACGTTGCTCAGGCCGGTCCCAAACTCCTGGGATCAAGTGATCCTCCCACCTCTGCCTCCCAAAGTGCTAGGCTTACAGGTGTGTCACCCTAGGAAGCGCTTGCCTTGTTCTGGAATAGACAGGCCTGGCTAGAAGCCACCTGTTCCGGTTCCAGGTCAAATGCCTTTTTCTATTTGGCTCAAAAAATCCTCAGAGCAGCCGCTGCTCACTCTGAAAGGAGTTCTCAACATTTTCTCCCCTCTGGCTCAACCCTGTACACTGTTCTCACATCTGACTCATTCATTCCAGAGAGGCTCTCACTCCATCGCCTGGGCTACAGAGCAGTGGCATCACAGCTCACAGCAACCTCAGAGTCGCTGCTCGGCCCAATGTCTTCCTCAGACCCCGTAAGATCAAGCTAACTGAATGGTCATGGTAAAGGACTCAGAACCCCGGGTGCCACCACTCCCAATAAAGCATTCATTACCAGGTTTTTCATCCGGTTGTGCCACTTTTATTCCTAGATGAGAAAGAGATTTTTAGATAACAGCAAAGAGGGCTACTGTTGCTACTATTTTGCTACCATTCATCTCACCAGGTCTTCAGTCAGCGTGCAAGACGGACATCTTCCTCACTTAACAATGCAGAGCAGACGCACAGAGAAGTGAGGTGCCCTCTGCAGAGTTACCCAGGGGACCCTGGAGGAGAGGCTCCCTGAGCTGGGCCTGTCTATGCAGCTCACGTGGTTCACCTCCATAGTGCTCCGTGTCTGCCTTTGAGACAATCATCTGTGACTGGCAAGACCCCCATGAGAGCACTGTGGAAATTCAGGTCCAGTAGGCTGAAGGGCTGTAGCCATGCAAGGTGTGTCGTCAGCGTCACCAGAGGTTCACTTCAAATCTGCACGCGTTTGGGTCACTGTACAAGAGTGGCTAAGCCCTCTGCCTGAGCCTCATCTGTGCTCCATGTACCTAACTGAACATCCCGTCTCTGTACACAGCACGCAGCCCCACAGACAGCAACATTAGCCAGAGCTCAGCACTGTAGGCCTGGAGATAATTTTGTGAATGCCAAAAGTCTAATTTCTTTAACAGATGATCATCCAGATCATAGTAACAAAATATGATCTGGAATATGTTTTGTTACAGATTATAGTAACAAAACCTGTAAAAAGTATTTTCAAAGCTCTACATGAACTTAGGAGAAAAGATTTGAAGCAGTGCACAGTGGCTTTGTACCTTAAAATTTTGCGGCTTTACAGTCTTTATAGATAATCCTGTGTGGTAAAATTGAAGCTGGCCACATTTGAAAGATGACAGTTCTGAGGCATAGAGAGTGTCACTACTGTTACTACTCTCTGGTAAAATATCACATCACATCCACTTCTATTTTCTTCTCTTTGTCTTAAAAAACAAAGTGTGGGGGGCTTTTTATTTTTTTCCTCCCCTATAAACGTAGGTTTTAAGGTCTTTCTGAGGAACCTGGCTGGGGTCACTGCTCAGTTTCTCTAGTTTTAGAAGCTCAAGGCCCCTCAGCTACAGCCTCCCATTTTGGGGGAGAGGCAGAGAAGGCACAGACAGGCTGGCAGAAAGGAGCCGGAGGAGGGTGGGAGGTCAGGGCCAGGCCATAAGGGGAGGGCAGGGCAAACTAAAAAGTAAAATAAAATATTCATTGTGATGGTTTTATCTTAAAAGTGGGTTAAATCCACCATGGCAAACACACTGGAAAAACACTCAAGGAACCACATATATTGAGGAGTGAGTTCTTGGTCATGAGTTAGGGAGACCTGGGTCTCCCTTTTGTGATTTTTTTCATTATTAAATCATAGCTGTGTACATTAATGCAATCATGGGGTACAATGTGCTGGTTTTACATACAATTTGAAATGCTTTCATCAAACTGGTTAACATAGCCTTCACGGCATTTTCTTAGTTATTAAGACATTAATATTCTACACCTAGTAAATTTCACACGTACCCTTGTAAGATGCACTATAGGTGTGGTCCCACCAATCCTTTTGTGATCTTATACAAAGTACTCACACTGTCCTGGACATCTAGTGGACATTCTATCTATAGACCCCCAACCCAGCATCTCCCCCTCTGTCATGCCTGCCAATGCTTACCAGGTTGTGGAAAAGGTTCTTGGATTTTTATTCCTAAATGAAAAAGAAGTTTGCTCCAGTGAGTACAATTTTCAAGCTCCTGTCTGGTGAGCTCAAGACATAAAAGTACCAAGGTCCCACTGCACTATAGTTTCTGGTTTTTTATTTAAAAGTTCTGGCTACATAAACTCGCACTATGCAAATACACTCCAGGCTTAGAGGAGGAGTCTGCCATGGCGCCTCCCTGAGAGTGTCAGGCCTACACCTGGAGATCCCAGATGGACAGATTTTAGCTAAAGCTAAGAATCAGGTTGTGCATGAAGTTGGGGTTTCTATTGAATAACTTTAGCACTAGAACCCGGAAGGCGCTGAGGCTGATGCCCCACCTGTCCCAGCAGCCTTTCCCTCTGGCCACATTTCTCAGCAAAGCTGGTTTTCCTGCCCCGGAGACCTGCTCCAGGAGCAGCTGGGGGCCAGGGGGTTAGCGTTTTCCTACTCTCTTCCCAGCTAAATCTGTACAGGTAGCAGTAAGGGAAATATTCATGATAATAGTCTGGTTATTTAATGCCTGGAGAATCTTTCCCCCTAATCCCTGGGGTTCAGGAGTAAACAGAAAGGGGTCTTACCAGGTATGTGGGTGGGCTGGAGCATTTCCATCCCTACTGGCAGAAGTGAACGCTGGTTAATCACTTGTCTGTACTGCTAATGCTCCCTTATCTACACTCTCCCTGTCTCCAACTCTTAAACAACAAACAAACAGAAAGGAAACAGCAACAATGAAAATACCTTTTAACAGCTCTATATTCTCCAGTGAGATGAAGTCCAAACTCCTCAGCCTGGAGTCAAGAACGTCCACCACCTAGCCCCTCTCTCCCTAACCTCACCATCACAAGTCAGTGAGAGGACACTTGTCTCTAAATGAAACCATACTGAGGTACGTCTGCTTGGTTTAACTCTGTTGTCATTATACAGAGGTGCCCAAAATACATATACATATTTTAAGAAAGGAAAAAGATGCCAGGCCCCATGACTCACACCTGTAATCCTAGCACTCTGGGAGGCCAAAGTGGGCAGATTGCCTGACTCACGGGTTCAAGACCAGCCCGAGCAAGAGCAAGACCCCCATCTCAAAAGAATCTCTAAAAATAGCCAGGTGTTGTGACAGGCTCCTGTAGTCCCAGCTACTGCGGAAGCTGTGCCAAGAGAATTGCTTGAGCCCAAGAGTTTGAGGTTGCTATGAGCTACAGCACCATAACACTCTTAAAAAAAAAAAGGAAAAAGCTACATTAAAATTGTAATAGTCATGTTTGACTTTGCAATTACAAGAGGCACTCAAACGTGACTTGTATTCATCTTGTTAATGATTTTTATTTTATTATAAAGGAAAAAATTGTATTAAAATTGTCATACTCAGCGCATCCTGATAACATTTGTTATCTTGTATACTGTGTCTCTTATAATCTAGAAGTCAAACAGGACTCCAGCGTGACGATTTCAATAGTGTTTTCCTTTCTTAAAATGCGTATACAATTTTCCGGCACCCTCTGTAGTGAGTAGCTTTGGGCAGGCTACTTAAACCTTCTGAACCTCAAATGCTCATTTTGCAAAAGAGTGAGGACAAAAGGAAACACTGCTTTAAAGTGCTTGGTGCAGCCCTGCGGTGGCTCACGCCTGTGATCCCAGCACTCTGGGAAGCCGAGGTGTCTGGATTGTCTGAGCTCACAGGTTCCGGACCAGTCTGAGCCAGAGTCAGACCCCCAGCTCTAAAAATAACCAGGCTTTGTGGCTGGCACCTATAGTCCCAGCTACTCAGGAGGCTGAGGCAAGAGAACTGCTTGAACCCAAGAGTTTGAGGTTCCTGAGACCCCATGGCACTCTACTGAAGGTGACAAAGTTAGACTGTCTTAAAAAAAAAAAAAAGTGCTTGCTATAATGCGTGGAACATACAAAGCACTCAACAAAAAGTCTCTGTGTTCTAGCTTAACTTACTTCTTAGGGAGTAAGGCTCAGGGAATATCCTTAACCCAGGAGCCCTCCCATCTGCTCCTCACCTGCAACTAGTCTCAGGGACTAAGTAAAAAGATGATTACCAGGTGAGACAGTGAGCTCCTGGCTTTCTCCCCCTGGAAAAAAGATGAGAATAGGAACTATTTAGTAAAAATTGTAATTAGCTTAACGCTTTACTTGGTTTTTATAGTAGAAAGCTCCACACTTTGAGAAATGACAGGAGACAGGGTAAAGAGGAGAGAAGATTGAACCCACTGGAGCCTGATTTGGGGTTAAGAACTATGGCTCGTGACCCAGACTCTCTCCAGATCAAGCAAACAGCTCTTCTTAATTTTTTTTTTTTTTTAAATTTAAAAAATTTTTTCCTTTAGATTCAATCCAAACACTCTGACCCAAAGTTGTCATTATATAATATATAAAATATACATACATATGTATATTTCATATATTTTATATATTATAAATATATATAACATCATATATTTTATATATTATAAATATATCTATTTTAGAGAGATGGTATCTTACTCTATTGCTCAGGCTAGAATCTAACGGTGTGATCATAGCTCACTGCAGCCTTCAAACCCCAGGCTCAAGCAATCTTCTGGCTTTAGCCTCCCAAGTAACTGGGACCATAGCTGCATGCCACCACACCTGGATAATTTTTTAATTTTTTATAGAGATGGAATCTCACTATGTTTCTCAAGCTGGTCTTGAACTCATGGCCTCAAGTGATCCAC